TTAGTCTCATCACTGGCAAACATGCATCCAGACTTGAAAAAGGGACACCCTCGGCCGAATGTAGCAACTTCTGCACCTGAGGCACCAGTGATCATCTGAAGAAAGAGAAAAATAAAAACGTAAATCGGTTAACGCAGCGACTGATGAATAGACCCAAAATGGCGGCATTTCGTATACATTGCTTGTTTAACGCTGATCGATCTGCTCATATCCTGCCATAATCTGACGACAAACAAACCATCCGTGTAGCGCATTCTCGAGTTGGATTTCTCCGACGTAAAATAATATAGTAAATACGGTATAATAATATGTTCGTGAGAGCAATCAAAAGTACGTACAATTTCAATAGATATTTTTATTGACAGCACGGCACTTTTTGTTCGACCAYCAACACGTCGAATCCATCATCGATTTCAACAAATGCGCTTGAAGAGACTTGAAGCCGTTTTCTGGCTGGTATTTTTTGTTAGTATGTGTCGAGGATACCTATCCTTTGAGTTAGGATTCTCGATCTAATGATATAAAAATATACAGTACTACAGTATTCCATATTATTGATACTGATTAGCGAACGAGAACTGTATGCGAGAAATGTATGCACTACACCACGACCCCACACGGGTGATCTGTTTGTCGTCAGATGATGACAAGATATAAAGCAGATCTAAACGTACTAAAATCAACGTAAACAAAGATCGTAGGTACAATTTTTCGTTTATTGTTTTCTATAGCATCAGATTTCAAGTATATTTCAAGGGATACGCGAAAAATATATAGGCATATAYAGATTTAAGAAATATAAAACGGCGCGCGTGTCTCTGTCCTCTTATATAAACACGGTGGGAGTTCGGAAAACACGAGAGAAGCAAGCTTAGGAACACGAGCGTAGCGAGTGTTTCTCTTGCTTCTCGAGTGTTTTTCAACTCCCACCGTGTTTATATCAGAAGACAGAGACACAAGCGGCCGTTTTATATTTCTTTTATAAAATTTTTCGAGCGAAAAGAAAATTTTGCCGGTAAGCCGTGTCTCTGTCCTCTGATATAAACACGGTCGTCAGCCAATCAGAGCGCGCGTTATATATCAAAAATTTTATAAAA